AACCAACTTCTTCATGAGGTGAAGATCCATCGTTACAACCCACAGGCGGACAACAAACATCAGGCAGCTCTAGAATCAACATATACATTAGTGTCTTTAAACCAGCTGCTATCTTTCAAGCAACCTTACATGCTCAGGACTGATCTGATTGCATAGCAAGGGCAGGTAGGTTATTTTTGCAAGCCCTCACAGATGGCCTAATTTCCTGACTATGTATCATTTTCTGGAATCACAACCCATTGGGTTGGGTTGCCATTATCATGACAGTTTATGGGTCTGCTCTTTCTTGTCCCCTACAACCTCACAATCAATAAATCATTCATAAACTGTATTAACCATACTGATATCTCCAGTAGTTTATGTGACTGGTACGCAGTTCATTACTTAAAGCCAGTTAAATCTGGCTTGACTTGTATCGCTGCAGCCTGTAAACAACTGCTTGGAACTGCTCATAAGGTTTGGCTCCAGTGCCGTCGGACTAGTGGCCTAGATCTTTTGTTTCTGTATTGTCTGTGGTGAAGTAGAGGGAGTCTTACTTGCTTCCAGCTACTCCACAATCAGATGTAAGGTTAAAAACATACAACATTTATTAAGGTCTGATGATTCACAGCTTAGCAGGTTACCAACCAAGATTTGGGCATTTTGTAAGTAAATAAAAAGGTGGAGTCCATTCTGCTTGTACAGGCAAGTGAACCTACAAGCTTGGTAAAACAAAACACTGTGCGTCCACTTGACTGTGTCGTCCATGTTTTATTAACACCAAAGGCCTAACACCACACCTGCCCACACCGCCAAGGACAGGATTTTAAAGGATGCTTCTGTTTTATTACAATTATTTTTGCCGTTTTGGCCATTTCTTGTATCAGCAATAATTACCTTTTTCTCATTAACTTAATGTTGAAATCTGGATCTGTGGAAACAAAATGTCTGAGGGAGAAAGAAGCAAGCAGTAAGACTTTGACCTTTGAGATGATCAGACATGTTTTAAAAAGACCTCCCGGTTAGTCAAAGCTATTTCAAAGAGAAAGCCATGTTAAAATTTTAGGAAAATCTATCTTAAATTTTGGCCCTTTATTCTGCATATTTGTCTGATCATCTCATTGCTCATGATTCCGGCTATGTTTGACTTTGTTATAGTAATGTCCCAGATTTCAGTTTAGTCAGTATAAAATTATTTAATTTGGTAGACAGGTCAGGGTAGGATGTTTACATTTTCTTTTCATTATAGAATAGCAATAAGGTGCCAGTTAAAAAAATTAAAAGGAGGCTACTTTGAGTAAGAACATTATTTATGTAAGCTGTTGTAGAGGAGGTTGGAGTGCAGTGGTTGTCAATTATGAAAATTAATGGAAGAAAAGTAACAATCCAAGGAGACCTCTTTGACCGTTTTTTGGTGGAAACACCTATCTGGAGAAATCTAGTGATGTGAGACTGGAGTGGTCACTCAGAAAATTCTTTAAAAAAAAATCATCTAGAGCAGTCTTACCATGTCCCTGGTCACCAGCCATGTGTTAGAGCACCACTGATCATCTTTCTATCTACTCAAGTAGCATCTGTGTTTTTATGTTTTCACATGTGGAAGTGCACTTCCTTATTTGTTCTGGAATATTGCCTTCATTATCAAACTCTACTGAGACAGGATGTGAATAAATCTTATAAATTAGGTTTGAAGTGTCTTGCTACTTCCTTTTTTTTCAGAACTTGACAAGGTTAATCTGAATGTGTGAGCCATGTTCTTCCCCATACTCGAGTAAATTTCAAAGGCCTGATTTTCATATGCCAATCTTGAAAAAGAGTGAAAATGATATATAATGTGAATTTTACTGCTTAGGTTTGTTTAAATGGCCATAGGCTGGAGGATTTGCATAATTAGGTACAGTGTGCGTAGGGTCACATTTTAATCTTTTGTATCATCTATGCAGAAGGTTATTATCCAGTGTGTGACACTGTCCTTCATCCTCTCCACCTCAGGTACTTATTTCACACATGAAGCCAAAGGAGCAGACGATGCAGCAGATGCAGACACAGCCAGCAGGGGAGTGACTGGTGAACAGTGTATAAGTATGGAGGAGACTAATGAGGTGCAGCTGGTGAGTAATCAGGGAAGCAGGGCAGGTGTGTTGAATAGTGTAATCAGTGCAAGGGCTAGGCTAGTGTGAGGAAAGAGAAGAGAGGAAGGTGGAGCTGGGCAAACCTGACAGTTTGGAGTGGTTTGCTACTTCCTTTTTTTCAGAGCTTGACAAGTTTAATCTGAATGTGTGAGCCATGTTCTTCCCCACACTCGAGAACATTTCAAAGCCCCAATTTTCATTTGCGAATCTTGAAAAAGAGTGAAATTTATGTATAATGAGTATTTTACAGCTTAGGTTTGTTTAAATGGCCGCAGGTTGGAGAATTTGCATAATTAGGTACTGTGTGCGTAGGGTCACATTTTAATCTTTTGTATCATCTATGCAGAAGGTTATTATCCAGTCCGTGACACCTTTCTTCATCCTCTCCACCTCAGGTACTTATTTCACACATGAAGCCAAAGGAGCAGACGATGGAGCAGATACAGACACAGCCATCATCAACGCAGAGGGTGGCCACACCAACTTGGACGAAAAGACTACATCTAATCAAAACAGGACCCCTCACTCTTGTGTTCTCTTTGGGACACCAAGCTGCTTTTGGGGCTGGGGAAGGGGTAGAGGGGGGTTAATGGAGGGATTAGAGTTATTTCAGGATCAGTTTTAGTTTGAGTTCTTGACCTGTCATTTTGATAACCTAAAGTTATTATTAATTTGTACCTTCATGGTACAAAGGAGCAGCTTTTTTAGCCCACCCTATGCAATAGGAAAGTGAGTAAGAGGGGGTGGGGGAAGGTGGAGAGAACAGGACTCACATGGCTTTTTTTTTTAAACCTAATACTGTATAATGTATACATTACAGTTGCCTTTTTGAGCTTTTATATCATTTGGATACCATTACATTATACATTTAACAGTTACTTCTAAAGTGAGGTCAGGACACTGAACAATATCAATATCCAGTTCTTAGCAATCATTTCATGTGGACTGGGCCTTCAGCCCCCACCATCCATTAGCTGTAGTACCTCACTAAAACCTCTTCTGCATCGAGGGATTTGCTGAGTGAGCCCCAGAAAACGGAGCGAGCGGGCCACAATTTCTTAACAAATAACAGAAATGGAGATAGAAACACCATGGATAACATTGGCTACCGCCCACCCCTACAACCTGCATTACCCAACTAGCAAGAATAAAAGAGGGAGGGTGTGGGGAGCATCAAAGTGCTACCTGTCAAACTCAACAAAACAGTACCTGATAGATCTAATAGGTTATTTCGACTTAGGATTTTCTTTTTTAGTGCTGGGCAGATTCAATTAAACTGAGGAGGAATCCTTCTGACATCCAATTCATTTGTCAGGCTGCTAAAGCGGTGCTTCACCACACTTTCCTGTTATGATGTTAATGTGGACTTTAGCTTTAGGGGAAGCAGGAAAGTGTACGTGTGTGGTGTGGGTGGCCTGGACAACTGCAAAGAATCATTCTATGGTGTCTATATTAAATGTTCATCTTTTAAATAAGAGGGAGGAGAAACGAGAGCATCAAAGTCTCCATAGCACATCAGTCTTTTCATCATACCATATGTTACTTCATGTCATAATTAGACCATACTTTGTGTGATCTGATGAAACCATACTTCTCATTCTTTGATTTAAATTAACACATTTTGTTCTTTGAATTACATGTATGTTATTTTAAAAAGTGTACAAATAAAACTTTTTTATTTTGAAAGTATGTAACAGAAGTGTTGACTATATTCTCAATATCTAGAATATTTAGCAGGTAAGACTACATTTATTACCAATATTGATGCTCCTATTCATCGTAATTAATGGTACAAACTGATATACATAACTATTATTTGGATATAAACACTGTATATTAGCCTGTTGCAGTTTCTACCTATGAAGGCAGCAAACACCCATGGTAGACTTTAATAATGGACTGTATACAAAACTGATTTATTAACAGGTTTCCGGTGTGGCGAAACCCCTTGAGGCAAATTTTAGATTTGTGATATTCGGCTATATAAATACAATTTGACTTGTCTACCCTTTGCCAGAAGATTCTAGATTGAGATGCCGCTTGACCTGCGAATTTAAAATCATGGGCGTTCACTGCCCTCTTGTGGCCACAGTTAGGAACGACACTACATAAAATTGGTAAATGTACGAGAATGACACAGAACGCAAACATGAGACCATACTAATACTTTCGAAAAATGCTTTCAAAATAAAAACACACACAATATTAAAAACGAAAAGAAATGGCCACAGCATGTACGGCTCCAAATTATTCAGTTGAAATAATTACTTTTCAAAGAATGAAAAACTGTGTATGAATAAAGAGGCCTGCATTATGCACAGCTTTCTAATAGCTTTGTTTTATTATCCATCTATCTGTCAGTCAGATTTGTTATGCCTGCCCTGATACCGTATAAAACATGACATTCAAGTAAGTGTATTTACAATTATAGTGTTGAATGCAATCTGGCTGTTTAACAGTGTTAATAATATAAGGTATAATAACCTAATAATATAACTTAACATATATATCTACTGCTTATTGTCGGTGTTAGTATAGTAATAACAACAGTAAAAGATTTATAGCGCTGCATTAAAAGCAGTTTGATGTGACTATTACTTTACCAATAGACATTATGATTGATGATGACCTATATACATTTAATATACAGTTACGCTCATGAGTCCTCGTTGCCATCTAGTGGTCGCACTGAGACACTGCAACACTAAATCAATGGTTTCAATCAGCATTTTGAATTCAAAACGTGAAACATATTTCTTTTAGTATGATTGCTATAAATAACAATAGCGGTTTTCTCGTGTCGAAACACGAGACGATCGTTGAACAAATTGTATTTAATTGTTGCGCTGTAGGTGGGGCGGTGTGGTAGAATCATCTACTGTACTTTGTCCCTCAAAGTTAACATTACACAACTTGCTTTATTCGCCCTGACGCTGACACCTTTCGCTCCGCTTCACCACCGGGCGGTCCCGTTACTATCAGCGAACACCCTGACATTGTGGAACGCTTGGAGACAGCCAATCAGGTAGACTCCCTGCTACGTTAGCGCAGCTTTGGCACAACAGCAGCTCGTCGCTATTTGTTTCCTGTTAGCATTAGCATTCGTAGCAGAGCCACAGATAAACAGAACGTGTAAAATGATAAATTAACGAAAGCGTTTATTTTTTGGTTGACGTTACCCTTGTTTTGGCAATAGTGTACGCCGAAAGCAAAGCTATTCTGCGGCTGTCGCGCCGTTAGCTGCCAAGTTGCTAGCTAACATCGACAATCCAGCAGAGAAAGATGGGATCAATCCTGAGTCGCAGAATCGCTGGCGTGGAGGATATCGATATCCAGGCCAACTCGGCCTATCGATTCCCACCCAAATCTGGTGAGTGATCGGCAGTGTCTGTTGGCTGTATATAGATTCCAACATAACGTTAGACATGGATCTTGTAAAGCAAGAACAAATACCGAGAAACAGAGCGCTCCCCAACCAATCAGGAATTAACGTTTATCCTGTCTGTTTTCCTGGTGATTCTTATCATGTCTTAAATGTTATGCGAGTTAGATAACGATGTGAAACATGTATACGCGTAACGTGCCACACGTTGCTCAGAAAATGTGTTGTTCATTGTACTCTTACTGTATAACGTTACTGCCTGCGGATTGTCAGATTAAATCAGGTTGGTTTATTATTATGTTTTTACAGCATCATGATGGTCATAATGTACAACATGAACACTGTTTTATCACCATTAAATTAATGTCACAAGAACTGAGGGACAAATCAAGCTGGTAGCCAGAGACATGATGACAAATAGTTTTCAGTTGTCAAAACAAAGCTTTAAAGCAAATTTTCATGTTAGTGTACAGTTTCTTAAGCACTTAAGATAAATACGTCTTAAGGTTTCTTTTAACTTACTTTGTTAAGATATTTTAAGGCCCTATAAACAGTGTGTGGGTGTAGGTATGTGAATGTGAGGTCAGGGAGCCCATAAAACCATCTGCCATTTTATTGTCAACTGGTTTTCAGCTCGTTGTGTGTCCTGCATATCAGTGTACACATATGAAGACTACTATGCTGATAAAGGAAATGAGGAATGCCACTATATTACAGTACATCTCCTTTATCATTTATTTTTTCTGTCATGGTCAGGAAATTATTTTGCAAGCCACTTCTTCATGGGAGGTGAGAAATTTGACACACCCCATCCAGAGGGATACCTTTTTGGAGAAAACATGGACCTGAATTTTCTTGGAAATAGGCCAGTGCAGGTGAAAGACCGTGTTTCTTTAACTCCCTTGTCTGAGAATTGCATCACTATAAAACTACTATGACTACTGTGATAAAATCCTGTTAATAATTTCAAATCAAATTACATTGTTTGTGATTGCTGGTGTTATTTTCCTAGTTTCCATATGTGACGCCTGCACCTCATGAGCCTGTGAAAACACTGAGGAGTTTGGTCAACATTAGAAAGGACTCTTTGCGTTTGGTCAGGTAAAAATAGCGAGGCAATTTTGAATTACAGTTAAGGGGAAGCATTGTTTATATGATGAACTAATGCTTGTCAGTCTGCCTGATTCTAGGTATAAAGATGACTCTGACATGCCAGTAGAGGAAGGTGGAAAACCAAAGGTTCAGTATGGTGTGGAGTTTACCTTTGATGCTGATGCTCGAGTGGCCATCACCCTCTATTGCCAGGCATTTGAAGAATTCTCCAATGGAATGGCAGTGTACGGATATCATCTCTAAATTCCTTTTTAATGGGACTGAATCTAGACATTTATAGTGCAAAGTGAACAAGTACTTAAAAATGAGATCATCAGAATGTTACCTGGGAGCTTTATCTCATATAAATACTTTTATGAATTCTGTCTGAATTAATCATAGGGCACATCTGTCAGTATAAATGGTTCAGTTAACATTTTAACCATATCAACAGATCAATTTAACAGACATCACAGCTTCAGTTCCATGTAAAACACTGGCTGAGACATTTAAACTCTGTTTTATGGGTAGTGAGATTCAAGCCTTAGAGCACAAAGACTAGAATAGATACGGCAGGTCCTTAGCAACCACCGGTCACCATGGATACTGCAGATAAGCCTTAGAAGAAGATGAAAGTAATAGTTAGAACTGAAGCTATTGTGTTGCACTGAGATAGACCCTTCATTTTTCTGGAATCAGAGATATCAGATATTGTGGTGGCTGCCCTGTGCCTTTCATTTCTCTTGTCATTTTCTCTACGGATACCAGTGAATGTACTGATTACGTGAAGGAGATAGCTACATTAGACTTTCTACACCAAATGTTCTACACCTTTTCCTCTTGTCAGAAAACCAGAGTGCACTGATACTGTTCCATCTTCCTGCACACTGACCATTTTCCTTTGTGAAATGTTGCATACAGATACAGCCCAAAGGATCCATCAATGGTCTCTGAAACTGTGCATTACAAACGAGGTGTGAGCCAACAGTTCTCCATGCCATCTTTTAAAATAGATTTCAGTGAGTGGAAAGACGAAGATGTAAGTAACTGCAGCAGTTCATTTGTTAGTGGATCAAAAATGAATTCTCTCCACTGATGTTGCCTCATGTCTTTGAACATCGCTGCTTACATGTACACACAGCACTTTGCCAGAGGTCTACATCAGTGCATCAACACAGCTTTTGACTTACTACAGACATTTATACGCCTTTGTTTGTTTTTTTTAAACATTAAACAATAAAATATATGTATGTTTTCCATTAAAGCTGAACTTTGACCTTGACCGAGGAGTGTTTCCCATGGTTATCCAGGCTGTGGTTGATGAAGGGGATGGTAGGTCAACAGTTATAACAAGATATGTTTTCTGAGAGTAGCTGTACAAACAGAAAAGG